TTTGGTGACTAGCTTCTAGCAACAGAGGTGGGGATGCTGTCAGAGTCCAGGAAACAAAAACAAAACAAAAAAGGAGTGATTTGATCATGAGTTTTCTTCCAACAACTACCCCTTGAGAAGTTTCGACACTCTGACTTTGGTCTGAACCCAGATAGGCCCCTGGGTGTGTCCGGTAGCCCTGGGGTGGTTCCTTTTTGTCCTGTCCACGCCTGTAGGAGTATCTGTGCTGTGTCCTGGGCCGGCTGGGCCGGTTCACTTGGGCACAGTATATGGGACGCCAGGTTTTTGTCATAATTGTGTGTCCTGAGGTCCCAGGGATATCCGGAGAAGGGAACCACCTAATGTGATGCACCTGCAAGGCTCACAGCCCAGCAACAGAGGCACGATGTCCAGCCTCAGTTCAGCCTGGGAGTAAGACGTAGGCTGGTATGAGCACACGCTGGCGTCCCTTTCCCTTTCTCCTTCAGCGCATTCTCCCTCCTCAGAATCCTCCTGTTTCTGCCCCTGGCTACTGGTGCTTGCTCCGGGCCTCCTCCTGGACTGGTGTCCTGACTCTGCTCTGCACTGGGGACCCTCAGCACAGAAGAACGTGGGGAGATTGACTCCTATTATTGATATTATTCACTTTACCAAGGTACACCTGCTTCAGAGAGATGCAGATACGGAGGCAGGAATACTGCGGATGCGTCCAACATACCCAGTTTCTCCCACTCCCAAGACAAACTGAACCTTGTGGGGCCCTTCCATGCCCACCTCTGAGTTCTCTGAGGAAATCGTCTGGAGGCTGTTTCTGTTTCAAGCTCTGACAACCTGAGGTTATTCTAGAAAGCTCTAGCTGTGTCCGGCTCTGGGCCAGTGAGGGTGTGGCTCTGTTCTCTAACAGCCTCTCCTCCAAGGATAGAGACCTAGGCCTTGGGTCTGTGAGATCCTGGATCCATTCCTGGATCTATCCCCCCTCCCTTTCCCACGCCTACTGTTGTGCTCCATGTGTGTGCAGACTTTGGGGGTGATGGGAGGGTCCATGTTGGGAACTAGGGATGTGGCCTCCATCCTGGGCTCTCAGAAGGGGAAGGAAATCACCAAAATGTACAGATGAAGTGTCTGGGGATTCAGTCACTGCTGAGCGAGGGTTCTCTCACGGGCTTCTGGGTGTTCTTTTCTGCCGCACAGAAATTTCCATTTTATAGTCAGGGATGCTGTCAGAATTCGGGCCCCCGAATCCCCCATCTCAGCTCTTCGTGTTTGTCTTCTGCTATTCTCCTCCTCGAATGGAGGGCTGCCTGCCTCCAGGCACCGGGTCTCATCCCAGGGCCAAAGAGTGCAGGGCCAACCTAACACCCTGGCGTCTGCCTCGGAACCGTGGTTACCTAGTGTGAGAGTGGTCTAGGAGAGACCTCCTCATTTACGGTCCGTAGTGGTGTTTCATTTGAAGACCCCATTTGTCCTCCCCCTCTCTGAGCCCTCCTGCTCACCTGCCCCTTCTTCTGGGTGTCCTCCACCCAAGCCCCTTCCCCACCTCTCTCTCCAGACCCTTCTTTCTGGCTCTGGTCCTGCTCTGGCCACACTGCTCACCTCTCTGCTGATGCTCCTTACCTGCAGCCCTGTCCCGACGCCTCCTCCAGTCTCCTGGGTGGACCCTCCCTCCTGTGGTCCCCCATGTGCACCTCCTGCATCCCCAGTGTCTGAGCAGCTCCCCTGTGGAGTCTCTACCGGGATACTTTACTGTCAGAAGACCCTGGACTTCACTCTGAGCCCCAGCTTCTCCATGCTCAGGGGCCTTGGGCTTCTCCCCTGAAACACAGGGACAATTGCAATGAAGGACTGTGGGGGCTGATGTGACAGTTAAATGACAAAGCAAATGTCAAGTGCTTTAGACTATGTCTGAGATCATTATTCCTCAACAAATGGTGATGTTATTAATAAAAAAAAATAGACGGGCTTTCCTTGTTTAATAAATCACTCAATGCCCAGTGTACCCCCAGCCCCCTGGACATTCTGGCTGAGACCCTAGCAGCCCCACCTGGCAGAGGCAGGGTGAGCAAAGAAGACACCCCTGAGATTCAAGATGGGGCCAGTCCCTGGGGAAGGAGCAGGAGAAAGGATGGGGTGTCCAGGGCTGTGCCCAGAGAGGGGGCAGGGGAGAGGATCAACCACCAAGAGACAGAGCCACAGAGAAGGGGAGTGCTCAGAACTGAGACAGACCTAGGCAGGGGCTGCCAGGGGGCCAAGGCTGTGGCTTAATTTCTGGGTCTGTCCCCAGGACCGGTGGCACCGCTTCCTGGCTCTGTGACCAGAGGCTTATGCTTGATTTCAGCTCGTGGTTACACCAGGCTGTCCCGGGAACTCAGGTGTCCCATATACACAAACACATGTGGGACCTGGCACACAGCTGTGCCCAGGCAGCTGCCCCGAATCAAAAGATAGACACACACACATAAACACACAGAGTGACATAAAAAAAGGAACTTCCTCAGGCTTCCCCGACACACCCAGAGCATTCTGACCAAGGTAGGCAAGCTGGGGATGTCCACATTTCCCAATCAGTCGTTGTTGGAAGAAACTCATGATCAAATCACTCCTTTTTTGTTTTGTTTTTGTTTCCTGGACTCTGACAGCATCCCCACCTCTGTTGCTAGAAGCTAGTCACCAAAA